TGCCGCCAAAGGGGGGCACAGCAAATGTGGCCACCTTAATAGAGGGACTGCAGAACTGGCGGGTGGGGGGGGGGGTACGCCGGCCCATCACCTGGTTGTCTGTAGTGTATTGTGCTTCTTAAGCACTCGAGGAGTGTATTTTAAGTAAATTTAATATAAAATGATATAAACCACCATGAAAGTAGAATATGAAGTTGGGTTGCGCTGTGACAAAGCACCCTTTTGATTACAAAAAAACTTAACGATTAGGGATTCACTCAAGCTCTTCTAGTTCACGATTTCTACCTCGTGGGAATTCAGCAACGTCCATCCTGTAAAAAAAAAACCCCTGTTCCTTAAAAAATTAATTCGGAGTCCACCATCGGTTTGGGAAAAATAACCAGCGTCAGAATGGAGGCACCGTTAGTATTTGGGTAATTTTACTCACGTATTAGTCCAATGCAGTGGTTCGTAATTTTTGCTGTAGTCTAGGTAAAAAAAAAAGAAGAGTAATAGGTTTTACCCTTTCAACTGGTACAAAAAACTGACACCTTTATACAAGACATCATGTTTGCAATAACCACAACACAAGCAGTCAAAATGCAAACAAAAAGAAACAACTCTGATAATGATATGCACTGTCCTTAAAGTTGATTGGTCCACACCCGAGACAGCTTTTCTTAGAGCCTAGTCTCCATTGGTGTTGGACCAGATGACGCCAAAAGGCGTACAACTCAAAAACAGTGCACTATCAGAGTATTGAGAGCTCAGGGTAAAGCATTTACACTATGAGACATCTCCTTTACCAGTGGCAAAATATAGTAGTACGTTTTTACCCCTTTCAACTGGTACAAATAACTGACACCTTTATACAAGGCAACTCTGATAATTATCATTATCAGAGTTGTTTCTTTTTGTTTGCATTTTTGACTGCTTGTGTTGTGGATATTGCAAACATGATACCTTGTATAAAGGTGTCAGTTTTTTGTACCAGTTGAAAGGGTAAAAACCTATTACTATATTTCGCCACTGGTAAATGGAAAAAAAAAAGAATGTTAATCAACAGGAAGGTTTGTTTAAACAAAACAGTTGTACTTACGTGCCCCGTGCTTAAATTGTTTTCGAGGAGTTACCTTTTTTAAAAATCTGGGCATGTCTCACACTCCACAAAGGGCAACTCACACCCCCAGGGGTGCGTGCGCAGCCCAGGTTAAGAATCTTTGGCCTTTCGATTTAAAGCTTTCGTGACTGCAGGGATTCATCTTCTTGGACTTTACCGAAAGAACCAAGAGATGAATCTTTGGCCTACGTGATCATGAGAGTGATGAGAGTTCTTAGGTCCTAGATGGGCTGGAAAGTTGACACTTGTCACAAATCGTCCGTAGTTTGAACCGGTAGAATCACAAAGCACTGAATTTTAGATTTTCGGCACCTATAAACCACAACCCATACGTTTGTACAACCTCATGCGTGCAGGACGGATTGCAACGTCACTTAGAATGCCGTTAAAGTGAACCTTTCAGTAGTGGCACAAAAACCAAACACACCATTGCAAGCGAGCTCAGTTTTACGATAACACATTGGTAAATCGTTTTTTCTCCAAAATTAGTCATTCAAAACATTGCCTTAAAGAGGGGGGGTGGATCGAAAATATTTCAATGGCCCTTCTTGATAACTTGATAACACGTGCAGTGAAGGATTGTTCTGGGCAATGACCCTTCCCCGAGCAAATGCCAACCATTGCCCATTACACATTTTACTTCTAAGGCAGCGTGAATGATGTACAGTAATTTGTGCTTGCGTATCAGTCCCAATTAAGTATTACGAGATTCCTTTTCTTTTCAATGTCTTCCTTTTGAGTTGAGCGCGTAAAACCTGTTAACCGAGGAAGGGGCTTGTTTACACCCCCCCCCCCCTTGAGGGTGGAGCATCGCGTCTGTCCTCCAGGGCCATCGAAAAGGGCTGTTCGGCTGCCACCACATGGACGTACATGGTGATAACAACCACGGTAACAAACATCACCCCTGTGTAGCCTGAACAGACTTGGACAAGTGCTGTTAGCGAGCACCTATGAAGGCTGGCACGGCACACGAAGAGTTGAGTGGCCAACAGTGGCGATGTTAACACACACTGCACCAGGTACTCATTTGAGGCTGAGTCGACCACGGGGAGGACCATGACCGGTTCAGATAATCGTCATTGGTGTTGGCTGTGACCGGGAATCGAACTCGGGTCGCCGTGTTTGCGGTGCAGAGCATTAACCCGGCTACACTACCGCTCCCATCGCAACCAATGTCACAGGTAGCGAACTCGGAAGCGATCCACAGCGAGAAATTCATTGGAACGTGTTCATTAAATTATATTGCAATAAAATAATATATATTGTGACGCTCCGTTGGCAGATGTGTGCAAGCACAAAGACAATGGCCCTTCATCTGTCCTCTTTTCCTAAGGCAGTGTTTTGACGGAAACGTGTTGAGTTTTTTGCCTTAAATGTAACTTTCCATCTTGCAGATTTTAAAGCAAATTGTATTGCGTTGTGGATTTTTAGAAGGGTCCTGTATTTCTTAAAAGCAGGTTCATAGAATAGGGCAGATTCAGTGATTTACCGAGTGCTGTTATCACATCCGATTTTCGAAATGCACTAAGTCTCACTTAAAAATGTATCACCTATTTGTTTTTGCAATTCAAAGAACTTTGGAAAAAGCTTTCACTGGGGAAATTAAAATGTTGCACCTTGTCAGCAAGTTTGTGCACCACTCAATGTTTCAGAAGACATCTTGCCTGGCTTACAATTTATCTTAAATGATTTACTTCGTGCCAGGCAATGGCACACGCCGTTGTAATCTAGAACTGATGCGAGGGGCTGTGAAACACAATATTGCAAAACTGCTTTCCTGTGTGTTGTCACCATACCCTGGCAGTATAGCAAGGGGATCTCTATGGGTTTCAATCTGGACTGGGTGGGACATCTTCCCACCTCGCACGTGTGGGTTTTCTGCCAGACAATCGGATTGCCTCCGAATTACAAACTAATTAACCCTTTCCCATTTCCTGGTTACGTACGCACACGTAATTGGAACAGAACCGTAGGGAAAAAAACTAAAATAACTATCAGTACTGTACCGAGAATCTCACAAGGCCATGTGGAATGGCGGGCAGCAGTTTGGCTTGTTCACTGTGGCGAGTACAAGGTCGTTAAAAAAAGGCGCTATGCCTTAATAAAATGCCAACCCCGCTTGCGCGTTCCAAGATTCAGCGGGGAAACAGAACCCACGCTTGCAGACGTCTCGGAGCGGATTAAAATTGGCCAAACATGTCTTCATATAAATATTGAGCGTGGGTAATTGTTGAGACTGGTTCAACGGCTGGCTGCTTTTCAGCTCGGCTGTCTCCTTGCGCCCACGTTGATCTCTCGAAAGAAAACATATTTGCTTAAAACATGTATCTTAATACATATTTATAAGCATGGTCTCTCCTCGAGAGAGCAAAACCTGTGAACGTGTTACAGGTCAAAATTATTGTCATGTCCTTAAAAGACAAACTTCCTAGACATCACATGCCTCGCCAACACAATGACCTGTGATCAAATACTTTGATGCTGGACACAATGACAAATTGAGACCACACGCTTGGGATTAAGCAATCACATTATAAAAATAAATAATTTATTATAAATATATGCAACAAAAGTATTCAATTGCATTTAAAGCATACGAATTGAAATCCCCACTTTAACAAATGAAACAATCTAACATCCCTTCAATCAGCTGTCTTACGTTTACATTTTCACATGGAGTGGGGTTGTTGTTTTTTTTGTGCAGTCATGCCACTTCTAACATGCCAAAGTTGCGTTTTTTACTTGTGTATTGGAGTTGCTGAGACAATAATTTAACTTTTTTTTTACATTACCAATCCATGCATTACACAACTTGTAACACTTAAAAACACAATTCACGACAAACACAACGGACCTAATGGCTTACCCTGTTATGGAGTTGACCAGTTTCTCAAGTCCAGTGCCGACAGCTTCACTCCAAACCTAAGAAAAATGTCATTTCCACTCGGGTATTAAAAGTAGAAATGAGAGGACATGCACGTCCTGGTGGACAAAAACGAAAGAGGAAAGCATCCCTGTAAACTTACCACTCAAGCCTGTTACTGGCTTTTGTGGATATAAATATCAATAGCTTCCTGCACTCTGAAAAAAAATGCCTGAGGCCAACACCTGGGATTTTTCTTCTTCCTCTCATTGCACTCCTTCCCTCAACAAAGAGACTGCTTGCGCATTTCTTCCTTCCGGGCCAAGCTGCCTGCTGCTTTCCTCCCTCGTGCTGCCGTTGTGGGGTCGGGGTCCCGTGTCTGCCGCTTCTGCACTGTGTGGGGGCTGCCGACTTCCTCAGCACGGTTTTCCTTGCTGTAGATTCCTCACTTGCCTTCGGGCGCGCGCCACGTTGAAAACGGGGGGGGGGGGGTACGACGACATTCCAACCACTCTCGCAGCCAGGGGGACGAACTGTGAGCGCCGCCTCTCTCAATTCTCTTAGCTTCACCGACTACTCAATCAACCAAAAACTTAAACGTACTTCAGAAGTTGTTGTCTACAGCTTTATTTCACTTTTGTACAAAACATAATTCTTCACAGCAAATGCATTGCCAACTTACTCATCTTGCAATACATCCATGGAAAAAAAACAGATACTGCACTCAAACCTGTTGTCTATTGCATGTGTATATGGCCTACATTAACATGCACCACTAACATCTGAATTACATGATCATAAACTTGTTCGATAAAAAGACAAATCGTGGCAAAACCCTGACTTTAAAAAAGAAAAATCTGAGAATTTCAGACACAAATGTAGCCATGATACATGATTTTAGTCTTGCTACCTGTCCTGCGTCTTGACTCACTTTGCTTACTGCAGGATTATTTCCTGCCTCTATGCGCTGTCTGCCACTCCCTGGACTGTCAGAACCCCTGACGCTGTCCTTCCAAGTCAGCTCAGCCTCCCTTATTATGGTACATTGGATGCCTGCAGAATAGAGAAATATGGTTACACAAATCAATATGCATGCAAGATGGGGGAAAAAATGGGCTACACACGGAAATTAACAGACAAGGTTGTAAACGCACTTAAGTGGCAATAAAAGACGCACGTAGATTGTGTAAAAAAAAAAATTCTGGAAAATTTAGAATGTATCCTGTGAAGAGGGTGAATTGATAGATGTGCATTCACATTATAGAGTCTGGAAAAAAACAAATCGTACCTTTCGGGGGGAAATGAAGCAGCTCTAATATCGGTTGCGTCCACTTCTATATCCTCCGCCATCGCTCCCCGAGGAAACCATAGCCACCTGAAAAAATGAGCAACAAATAATTTACTTCAACACCCAACTCCAACTCAGAGGGAAACGCATTCAAATGACGTGAAAAACTGCTTCTACATGGTGTGAGAACTCAATCACTTCACACATGGTAATACTTCAATTTCAAAAGACGTCAAGGCACTCTAAATATTTCTAAGACAATACAATGGTTTGAGTCTGATAGTGATTATATGGCAAAAGCCAATGCTCAATAAAACTGAATTTGTCAAAATAATAGGTTAACAGAGGAGGAATAACTGCGTGTGGCGGTCGGCGCAATTTGAACAATTTTCGAAAACCATTGTAATATGGCACTTGACAATGTTGATGTAAATGAAATCTTCCTATAAATGGCACTGGAGACCGATTAACACTAATGCATTACTGAACAAACATATCTCACCTCCGTAGGGACCGCCACCGCTCCTGGGGCCACTGTAACTGCCACTGCTCCCACCACCACCATCACCACCGTGGCCTCCCTTCAAAGGGCCGTAATGCGAATGTCCCTGGCTGCTGTAGTTGCCAAAGTCGTTGAAATTGCTGCCGCCGCCACCGCCGCCTCCAAAGTTACCTGCAAGAGCGACTGTTCCTGTACTGGTCTGACTTGCTACATCGCCTTAATGACAAAAAGAAACAGTGGTTTTAGGCTATGGCTAATACACATTGGACTATCAGACACCAGGTTTTTTTCTTTTTTTTATCCAGACCGAATTTGCAAATCCCCTGGGTTACATCTGCCTGATGATAACGGAGCCCTTATTTAAGACGTCACACTTACCAACCACCACCGTAGTTGCCGCCGCCGCCGCCGCCCCCGCCGCCGCCGTGCTGGTTATAGCCACCTCCTCCACCGCTGTAGCTCCCGCCGCCTCCATATCCGCTGCCTCCGCCTCCATATCCGCTGCCTCCACCGCCACCACCATAATTGCCACCCCCATGCCCACCCCCGCCGCCTTGTCCACCACCACCCCCACCATGTCCACCCCCCACCATGTCCACCACCATGTCCACCACTATGTCCACCCCCGTACCCACCTCCCCACCCCCACCTCCATGTCCTCCACCCCCATAACCACCACCCCCATGTCCACTCCCTCCATAACCACCACCACCACCCCCATGTCCACCATGTCCACCATAACCACCACCACCTCCTTGGTAGTTTCCTCCACCACCACCACCATAGCTTCCGCCTCCTCCTCCTCCTCCATGGTTGCCATAGCCTCCACCACCCATGTTTCCCCATAGCCACCTCCTCCTCCTTGGTTCCCAAAGCCGCCGCCGCCACCACCACCAAAGCCCCCTCCTCCTCCTCCATAGCCACCACCTCCCTGGTTGCCATAGCCGCCACCGCCGCCAAAACCGCCTCTACCGCCCCCACCATATCCACCACCTCCTCCGCCGCCAAAGTTTCCACCTGTGACAAAGAAAAAAAATACTATTCAAGAAATTACATAATATGTAAATATGTACATAATAACACGACTTGTTGTCAGGGTATTCCCACTACAAGTCGGCTATGGGAGTTGTTTGACCATGCTGGTCATTGCAGGCTGGTTAAGGGGGGGGGAGATACCAGGACCAGTCAAGATATCACTCACTTGAATTGTTCGCAACATGTGCAATGCCCTAGCTCCGTTTACAAATCCACTACTTACTTCGACTGCAGGAAATTCGAAGTGACAAAAAAATAACGCTGTGTGCACACGATTGTTCAGATGCTTTACTCACCATCACAACCGTTGAAATCTCCGCCTCCGTAATTTCCCCGACCAAAACCTGCCCAATAGACAAAAGCCATTTATATTTGTGTCAACTTGGAAAACTGATTTACATTAAAACGGGGATACAAGACACTAACGCTATCATTCAAGAGGACAAACACTTGTATAAATATTGACCGAGGAACAAACGAGCGCAAACTCTGCAAATGACTTACCACCGCCCCTTCCACCAGGAGGACCAAAATCTCTGTTAAATCCTCCTCGGCCTGACCAAAAAAAATCGCATAAACGAATAAGCATCGAATATTAAGCACAATGTAACATATGTATCTTCACACAAATAATAAGACTTACCTCTGCCGTAATTTTGCAACTCTTGCTTGGGAAGGGCTTTTCTGATTTCACAGTTGTGTCCGTTGATGGTGTGATATTTTTGAACTGGAGATGAAATGAAAAAGCACAATTAATGATGAACATTGCATTTCTACACATGCCACCAGTATAAAGAATTAAAATGAGGAAAACACATAAAGAGACTTACCAACAATTTTATCCACGGGGTCATGGTCATTGAAGGTAACAAAGGCAAAGCCTCTCTTTTTTCCAGATTCCCTCTCCGTCATAACTTCAACAATCTCAATCCTCCCATACTTTTCAAAGTAATCTCGCAAATGTTCTTCATCGGTATCATCTTGATTCCACCAACAAAGATCTTCTTAACAGACAAGTGAGCTCCAGGTCGCATCGAGTCCTGCAATAAAAATGAGTTTTGAGGTCCTGGTAAAAAAAATCTCAAAAGCAAACGTTTCTAGAATTGCAATATCAAGATGGACAAACGCTAAAGCATAATTTGAGGATGTATTTGTGATGGAGTATCAATCTTCATTTTTGCCTGGAAAGCTGCAGAGAAAAACAAATTTGGCAAGCACCAACAAGTCCGGGATTGTATGTAGAACTTCTTTCGAACTACACGTAGCATTGTTGGGCTATGTACAGTGTGAAAGAAGTTCAACATGCATACCAACACTAAACACAAAAGGCAGTTCTAAAGAAATGAGTTCTAAATCTAGATTTTTAAAAAGTTCATTAGCTCCAGTGGCTTCCTAATGTCATAAGAGTGTTCTGGATGAAGCAAAGTGGACCCACCCAACCTCACCACCACTCCTTACCTCTCGTGACACTGCCCGCTTCGGCTCCACCATTCGCCCATCGATCTTGTGAGGCCGGCCAGACATTGCTGCGTCAACCTCTGACATGCTCGAAAAGGTCACGAAGCCAAAGCCCCTCGACCGCTTGGATTGTGTGTCCTTCATGACCTGAAACAAACACCAACAAAACTAAATGGTTAAAAAGTGCACCGTTATTTCGTCAAATAACAGGCAAATGCTTACGAATAGCATGCACGGCCCCTAAGGGCAGTAGAACGAATGTACGTACCACACAGTCGGTGAGGATTCCCCATTGCTCAAAGTACTGCCGGAGGCCCTCTTCTGTCGTCTCAAAGCTAAGCCCTCCAACGAACAGTTTGCGGAACTGCTCTGGCTCACGTTCCTGGGTGGAAAGAATAAACTCGAACCATTAGAAAGACACGTTCGACATATGCTTTATACAGAAACTGCAAGACAATGCCAGTGTTGGAAAGTCATGACGTTTAAGCAATATGAAAGCAGAACATGCCATTTAAATACCTTATGCATTTAAGGCAGTGCGCTTTCGTGATTAATCTCGAGATCATTTAGTGCATTGTGAAATAAACACGTACGTTAAAAGCAAAGTGTAATCAGTGCTATAAGTACGTAAAAACGCTCAGCTTTTTTCTCCATTTTTAAGTGGGACGGAGGTCTTGAATGCATTTCGCCCCGGAACGTGTGCTCTGAACTTTCAGCACCCTCATCGATATCCCAGGAATCCTCATGAACTAGTGGCCAAAAAAAAACCAAAACGTACATTTAGGTTAACTGTCCAACGTGTATCCCTCACCATAATTACAGTTGATCTTTGTTCCTGTGCTTAAAACTATGCGTTTTAATGCGCCATCGTTACGATGTGAAATGCATTTCAAGTTTGATAATCGAACACTCCACCCCCCCCCCCCCCCCTTTGGCTTGCAAACGTGCAGTCCATTCTGTCATCAAAGCGCCTTTCTACAAGGTACTAACATCGATTTTTCTTTGCTGACCGGCACGGAACCTATACATCTTATACACGGTGTTTGTTCATCCAAAGACTATCTTTGAGAGCGTACAATTGGGGTGTAATTTGGCCAGAGGGGGCTCACAGCGCTGGACCAATTATCAACATGTACGGATTTCCACGTGTAAGGGTTAACACCAATAGCCAATACGTTGGGTGTTGACGGTGAATCACGGTTGTGAATAATTAACACGGAATTGACGACATTGATGATTGTAAGATAATCGGGGAAAAAACAATGTCCATCACGAAGTGTGGTCCATGGTGATGCCCCCCCCCCACCCACTGGGAGTCTTCAACCTTACAAACAGAAGCCAATTGCGCAATTACGACCCGATATTACACAACATATAACACACGATTCACATAATCGCATCCGTTATCTGGCACCAGACGGCAAATTGGTGATGAATGCGAGCCAGAACCCAAAGACTTGCACACAACGCGCGGACGAAATCGAATGAATGAACGCACCCAGGGGTTGTTGTGGTTGGTAAACACAGTGGCAAGGCTGCGGGCGCCGTGTAATTGCAGTCACTCAACGAGGGTATTATAGATAACGGATGGGCTGACCGACAGGGGTGGATAGACAACCACATCGTTAAACAGGGGGGGGGCAGCGCGGCAAATGGACGCTCTCGGCACAACACGCAACCCGAGCACTTTACAGGCGGGAAGTGCCACAACCAACAACGCCGGCTCCTGGCAAACGCCGAGTCCGAGATCCACGTGCGCTCATTAAAACGCCGCTCCATCCCGCCTCGACGTCTCAGGCCATTGATATCCATTGCGAGATCCGCTCCGCTGACCAACAACCACCAACACCACCACCACGGACCGCCATGTCGGCCTGAGGCCCTCTCCTCCTTCGAGCCGACAACCCGGGGCCACGCTCACATCTCTCTCATCTCCAACCTCGATGTCCCACCATCGCGTCTCCCCGCACGCCCCGCGTTCAGTAAACCTCTCCTCGAAGCACGGGTCGGATTATATATCGATCTCTCTCTCTCTCGCCCGCGAACAGCGGCGCCAAGCCACAGAGGGAGTTTCAATCGAGAACAGCACGCGGTCCTTCCCCATCCATCCATCCCACGACCAGTGCCTGCCCACACCTCCCCGTCCCCTCATGCGCATTTCCCTTAGTCCACCACCCTCGTGGGTTCAACCCCGCGATGGTGGTGGACTAAGCTCCGGTGCCCAGCTCTGACCGTGGCGTCTGCCACACTCTCACCTCCATGGTACAAAATGTCGGCCAGGTGGTGGGCAATGGTGGTGGTGGTGGCAACGGACGGGCTCGGGGGGGGGGGGGCGTCAACTCCCGCCTCTTCGCCTTATATATGCACGGCACGCCACGCCCTGCGAGTGCGCGATTGGGCGAGGACAGCCGCCACGTGACCCCCGCGTCGACCAATGGCGGGCGCGGATTTCACCCCCCTCCTCCCCTCCTCCCCCTCCTCTTCCCCATTTTTTTGGCGCCATTTGGCGTCGCCGCGCACCGGAAGCGGAAACGGACGACCACTTCCGCCGTCGCTCCGCGTGTGAGAGAATAAAAACATTTTTGGTAACAAATTAAATTAAAATTTTAAAAAAAAACTCCTGAGTCGCTTGCCAAGTTGCAATCGCCGCGGGGGGTGGTGGTGGTAGCGAGTGCCCGGGGGAGGCAGAGGAGGTCCGCTGCTGCGAGCGTAAAAAAAAGTGTTCCCGTCCTCCTCCCCGTGAGCTTTTGACGTTCGAGGCTTTGCCGCCGTCGTCGTCGTCGTGGTTTTTTTTGGCGCGTAGCGGGAAGGCGGCAGACTCTCACCCACCCACCCACGCCCGCCCGTCCGTCCGTCCGTCTCATTCATTCCCGGAGCGAGCAGCAAAGCGGCTGGACCGCCCCCAATGTAAGCCACAGCGCGCCCCTTGCTTCTACGGTCGTCCCCGCGGGAGGGAAGCCCCGCGCGGCCTCGTTTGCTGGAATGGCGCGGCGGCGGCGTCGTTGTTGTTGCTGCCGCGGCCACGTTTTGTGTTGTGTACGCGCGGTGTGTGGGTGGTTAGGTTGACGGGTGTGAGGGGGACATGGCCGTTCGAAGCTTTTGCCGCTCACGACGACGAATCGAGGCGTATTGGGGCGCCCCGTGCCCGGGGTCTCGAGGGTAGGGAGAGAGAAAGGGGGGCCCCACTTCGTGGTCCGGCGGGGCCCTGAGGGGAGGGAAACCCAGGCGAGTCTCGACGCTGCTGGCGAGATCCAACACGAGGACATGGGACGATTGCAGAGGGGAAAAACACCACAAATTAACCCTTGAGTTGGCGTCCAGTTCGGGAGGCTCCGTGTGTCGATTTTGGGGGTAGGTGATGAAGGGGAATTTTGAGGCCTCGTTTGGTTTCGCTGCTCAACGAAAGGTGGACAATTTGCTTTAAACATCTCGGCTCAGCAATCCACGTTGTCTGCTACTCTTAATAGATGAGTGCACAACCTACACTGCACGAGTTCAGGGTAAATTGCACCTGGTTTTTGTTATACAGAACCGACTAGCGGGATTGCATCCCCGCCACGCGGGTGCCCTCTTGCCTGGAGTCTGCTGCCTTTCCGCTTGAGGCGCCTCTTGCCCGGACCAAGGGTGGCACAGTCGGGTTTAATTGTCTTTTTATATTAAACCCGATCATCTGAGATTGGGAGAAATCCGGTTTAATTGGTTCTAATTGCGGCATCCGAGCGGAACTTCTCAGCGTTGGTGTACGGTGCTTTTTTCTGGATTTTTTGCTGTTTTTCCCCCCTAGATTTTCAGTTTTCACATAGTCATATAGTAACTTTAAGATGTTTTCTTGTTCATGCTTTTGTTTTGTTTGTTGCGGTTGCACCCGATTCAAGAGCCGAATGGCTCACATGGCTTTACTAATAAATGAACGTGAACTTTATGGGCTTCATCCATTCCAAGCTAAGGAACTCACTGGCGCCAACGATTGTGGAGAAGCTCGTGTTCATCAAGACCAACCTGCCCGCCGCATTCTACGACTACCCCGTGCCCGACGGCCCCGAGTACGATAGCACCGACGAGGAAGCAGCCTAAGCCTTGGATCAGAGTTTCGTATTCATTAAACCAGGTTTTAATTCCCCGAAATCGGGTTTAATTGTATGAAAGAAAAAACTCGATGCCTGCCGCTGGAAAAATCGTTTTTTTTCCACCCATGCTTGTTGCTCCATCAACGGGGCAACCGAAACTGTGGGACCATACAGAGTACCGTACAACTTAACCGCAATAGTTATGCGCTCCTTTAACGGAGGAGGGAATGGCAAGACGATATGATCTCACGTAGCCTTTCTCGTCGTGGATATCAGACCTCGGACATTGGCACTTAGCTCCCCGAAAGGGAACAGTATTTGCTCTACGCCAGGATGAGAACAGAGGCCGAGGAGAATGCCGTGTAAAACATTGCTGGTCCAAACTCCAGCTACGGGCCGAGTGGAGTGATTGATTGAGATGATGGAGCCAAACAATTAGGGGGGGCTTGGTGGTGGAGAAGCTGGGAAGAAGATTTCCTTGCTGGTGGTGGCGCCACCCAGAAGCGTGGAACGTTTTAAAATCGCAATGCATATTCTTGGTTCTTTCGGTAAAGTTGCGTCGAAGGGAAATAATAAAATAATACAAATATAAAACAATAAAAATTATCACGACGTTTCGACTGCAACACAAGCAATCATCATCAGGTGTTGCTGTGGACTTCACACCTGATGATGATTGCTTGTGTTGCAGTGGAAACGTGAGAAGTTTTATTGTTTTATATTTGTATTATTTTATTATTTCCCTTCTACGAGACTTTACCGAAAGAACCAAGAATATGAATCCCTGCAGTCACGAAAGCTTTACATCAAGATTTAGCGCAATGCATGTTTACATTATTGTGATTATGCATACGTCAGTGATACGTAGGGAGTTATGGTTTTTTTGTGGTTATTGCATCGTCAAACACACTTTTAAAAAAATGGTAACGGGTGTATTTTAATACTCGTCATGATGATTTGCATCTCAACAAAGTTGGCGTATTGTATGCAATTTGTGTTTAATGTAACGTTTGAGTGTGGGCGGACTTTTGGGGGCGGGGGGGGGGGGCACAGACAGGCAATGTCCCTCTCCCAAAACTGGACGCCTTTATTAAGTAATTTTCAATAGTTTACAATTAAGATTTTAAAACACGAATTAAGCACCCGCGATTCCTAACGTGAGGGACAAACTTAATCCCCCCCTGAAATGTAGAAGTCAAACTCCGCTGATGCATTTGAGCCCCACGAATAATCTGTAAATTGGCAAAATGTTGTCTTCGTTGAAATATTGGAACGTGAATGTAACGTGTATGTGTGTTATTGCCGTGTGTGAATGTGCACGTGAAATGGCTTCAGCCACGTGTGTTTTTGTTTGCCGTGGAGTGGGGCTCTTTTCGCATATTCATGGGCTTACGATGTCAACACTGTAGGTTATTCACTCCGGAATGTAATAATGGGAGTTTTCTGTGGTTAATTCTAGAATGTTCTGAGCCCCACCCACCGATCGAAGTAGTTTAAGCTCATGCTCCTGAAAACCTGGGCATGCAGGATTCCGATTGGCTGTTTAGTTGCAATCGTTGAAGGTTGAAGTTAACTCTCCAATTTTTAATTATACAAGCATGAATCTGGAATTCGTAAGTTAATTCTACCCGCAACTCTTGGAGGAACGAAATATTGTATGTGCCAGACTTGAGGATATGCGTATTATCGTGAAAGCAGATGGGGCATCGGTCGAGAGGATCGTCGTTGGAACATTGTGTGTCCCCTCTGCAGAGAATGTGCACTGCATTGAGGAGGGAAACGTTGGAACATGATACAATAAAACATAGTTTCCCCCCGTGTGTTGTCTTTGCATTTGGCAACATAAGCACGTCATCGTGTCAGTGGGCTGGGAGGGGTTAAGTTGATGCTTGTTAAATATGGTTGCACCCCACTCCTGAATTATCCCGCTATTTTGAGTTATAAAAAAAGAAAGTCCAATTGTGTGGTGTACTTCTAACCACGTGTGAAATGTGCTTGTTCAATGGGTGCAGTTACAATGGGAAAACAGAAGACCAGAAAGGAGAAGAGCGATCCGGATCCTCCCGTCGAGGAGGAGTATGTAGTGGAGAAGGTCATGGACCGCAGGGTGGTGAAGGGAAAGGTGGAGTACTTTCTCAAGTGGAAGGGATTCACAGAGTAAGTCTTATAAAGAAAAAATATAATTAATTTGCCACTTCTGTTGGTGGCTAATGCTGTTATAGTCTCCCCCAGAAAGTCACCGAGGCTCAAGATGCTTTCAGGAGATCGCTGCATCTCCATGTTTGGTTAATTGCATTAACGAGTGGCTTTTTTTGTGTGTAACCGAAACATATATAAAATCTCTCCAAATAACACTTGTAAGCCGCCACACAATCGTATTCATGCATGTATGTTTAACTTTCGTACTGTACGTAGCCAACCATGCTAATCGAAGGTGCGAGGAAGGACAAACTAAACACAACGTTCAATCAATATACCCAATATATTGCTTGTATGTGAAGACTTTAGTACATTTCTGAACTGCCATACTCTCTGCCTATAACAAATGATATTCCGTGACAGACTCCCATCCAAGAACTGAACCGACTTAATTCTGCTTATCTTCTAAGGTTGCCAAAATTCGGCACGTGCAGGTTCAGATGGACAAACCTTGCGAGTCCATGTAGCACTGCCACTCCAGCAGGGAGGCTGATGACAATACCAGCAGTGAATACACATCTAATCCTGGGCACAATTCCAACCATTTAACATGAAAAGGCTGTGTTAGCAGTGGTGCACAAGTATCACTTGCAAAAAACACGTGGGCCACCCTTGAAAACTTGTTGTGACCATATCACAGTATTTAACATTCTCAATGAGCTGTATCTCTAAGCAGTATGTGTCACTCATGTATACACTCTAAACACATTAATGCTGCATCACATTCACTAGATGCAGTTATTGGTGGTCGTAGTGCCCTTATTACACATTACAATTGCTATCAGTCGTGTCCCACTTGCCACTAGTGTGGTACAATACAGAAATTATGTCGTTGCTGGTGGAGTGCATTAATCTTCATATTTTTGAATGAGACAATTCTCATCAGTTATCCAGTGGCATGTCAACTCGAACAGACAAAACTCAATGCCACATAACAATCAAATGATGCAGTCCCCGAGATACGAACGTCCCATTTGCGAACATCTGTACTTACAAATTAACCACCATAAGATGTTATGTATTTTACCATCCGACTTGCGAATTTTCGGT